GGGGGGGGGGCGGGAAAACAATGAAAATCGAAAAATTTCCATGCTTTTGTTTCATGTTGTTAAAGTTCACCACAATTACTCAGCAAGCAGGTGATAAAATCACCTGAGGCCCAGGTAAGGGTGGTTTGAGTGCTTATAAACTATAGTATTTCCGATATTTAGAGTGCGCCAGGAAATACCTTTAAAAACGTCGACAAACCCTATACCCAACCTCATGCAGTGTTTTGTTTAGTCCTAGAGGCGCAAGCCTCAGCGTAGGATTACCCCATCCACCTAAATTTGGCCCTTCCCGCCCTGAAATAGAGATTTCGCAGACGGAAATGCTTTGAACACATGACGTCTAAATAAGACGACTGTTTTAACAACAGATCCTATGTTTTTTGCTTGACAGGGCCAATAAAAAAGAGGGTGCAACTACACCTTTAACTCTAATCCCACCTATCCCTACTTTCCTTCAGATATGGAAAACAAAATGAATGACGACTCACACACAAAAGTTCAAACTGTCACACAACGCCCAGGACACAAAGCAATTTAACTGTCATAATGTAACACATGCAACTAGCGTGAGAGTGTCGTTAATTTGGTTCAAACACAATGGCTGTAACTTTCTCAAGTTACAACAGTTAGATCCATAGTAAACTTAACCTGCCAAAGTAGCAAACTCCGGAAAATAAAGTTTAAAATATCTTCAACTTTAAAGTGATTGTGGTCACGACTTAGTCAGCATTTGAAATTTTCTAAAATTAACATCCCGAGGACTTGTCTATTTTGAATTTCGTGCAAAACTACTCGAGGGCTATCTATGCTAGTCGTCCCTAATTTTAAGGTGTAGGTTAGAAGGAAAGAAGCCACCCCAAGCTCTTGGGCTACTCTTTACAAGCGAATAGTGAGACTGAGCGTCACACTGTAATGCCCCCACAGCTGAACGAGTGTTCGGATACAGAATTCGAACCCGCGACTCTCAGGTTGCGATTATGTTATTTTACACAGTATAGATATGCGCGCTCGCGCGCGTGTGTATGATGAATACACACACAAAGATGATGACGGCCATTGAGATTACGGCCGAAAATATTTCTGACACCTTTGAATACCTGGAAGCCTGCATAACTTATATGTGGCATATATGTATGTTTGTGTGTATGTTAGGTCTTCGTCCTAAACCGCATACTATCTGCACTCTAGCCCCGCGGGAAATCGAACCCCGGATTTTAGCATTGCGAGTCCGTAAATTTACCGCTACCCCACCAGGGGGGCTACATTACTTATAAGAAAACCGATAATCTTCTATAAACCGTTCAAAAATCAAAAAATAAAAATTACATAACATTTTAGTTGTTTTATTATCAATACTTCTTTAAAGTCGACATTTTCTATTTTTACACGATAACTGAGTTAATCTAAACCCAGACATTATCTGTACTTCTCCAACGTAGTTATCAATTTCTTTGACTAACAAGAAATAAATAAACCCCTAAAAACTTTTTCTTATAATAAAAATTCAAAAAATAATCATTAAATGATCTACGCAGAGAGCTAATTATCGCTTTTATATACTTGAATTTATATTAGTTTTTTAACTAGTATTTCAAATTGTGGCTTACTATACAGAATAGTACGCGCGACTGTAAAATACTGCTGGCGCTCAATACACGTGACTGACGATTTAAGAAAGGAACAGACGGGATCAAATACTACACATCCCGTATATCATATATATCGTTAAAAATGAAGACTACGCCCAATGAAATTAGAGGGCGAGAGGAAGGCATTTACGCATCCAGAACTGTGTGAATAATTTTCCCAACTCAACTGATATGCGTTTCATTTGGTCTGGTAAGTATGTTTTTTATTAATATAGATTAATGATCAGAAATTACTGTTCAATCAATGAACATCGTTACACTGTTACATTAAGTTTCGTTTTATTTGAAAGAAAGCCCGTGCTGTGAATAAAACGTAATAACAGAGCACTATAATATATATGGGGAGCATTTAGGCCACACTGATTTTTTTCTTCTGAAAGTTCTTGGTTTTATTCAATTCGAGGTATGGGAAAGAGGGAGGATTTACAGATTACAGAATGTTCTAAAACGAATCACTTTAATTAAGTGGCACTCTATATACTTTGCCTGATGCAAAGACTGCAAAGTAACATTTGTTTTCAGCTGTTCTTGTTCCCGCTAAATTCTCGGTGTTCTATTCTTTAAAAAAGATAATATTTTGCATGTTGTAACTCTTAATATGTACAGTAACAATTCACAATTACGTCACATTCGATGTCACGTGCTGTTTTTTTAAATCCTATTTTTTACATGATTAATGTTGCTCTATCCCACTACATTTAGAATGTTATTTAAATTAAAATGAATTTTAAAAGGCCCAACAATTCACTTAAAAAACAATGTGGAGTTATCCAAGTTAGATTAAAAGACAGAGGTGACCAATGAAAATGTTCTTATTAAGCAAACTTAACCTGGTTAACCTGGCAACGCTGATATTTATGTAGCGTTTATCGTAAGTAAAAAATTTAATGAATGATTTACACTAATTATTATTATCACACACTTTACACAACAAAAACATTCGTATATACACGTCATTGTTTTTAAATTCGAACACAAATATTTTGGAAATAGACCGAATACGTAAATTGCCGTGTAATGGCATTCAAATATAGTTTTTGACTAATAAATTCATGTGGGGTTTTAAATATTTATCCGATAACTAGCAATTCGTGGCTTAAAAAAAAGTATTGCAATAAAAGAGGGCACGAGCTGATCATAAATCCGACATCGGTCGTTGGTTTATGTTTAAATGTAAAATGTGACGTCCGAGGTTTTCTCGTCGGTTTTTTTGCTTACAGCCACCTCCTTATCATTCTGTTCTTCAAAATTATTAGTATTATTAATTTTTTCTTGTTTTTTCACGTAGCTATTCCAAATAATCTCTTACCACGAGCGGGGTGAAGAGAAACGTAATTCTGACCATCCCCAGTTGTGTTTCAGTTTAGGGTCAAACGTTTTAACATTGAAATTACTACCACGATTTTTGGGATCTTTCGGTTATCTTCAGCCGTAGTACACGAACCGTTCGTCAAGTGCAAAGATATCCGTGCTACGTGTAGCATTAAACGCCGCTTTCGTGAGCCGTTCATCCGGTTAGACATTTGGAGTTTTCCAATCGAGATCGGGTACAAACCAGTCGTACGCTGTTCGCTCTTTGGAAACTCAGTGTTTACATAAATGAAAAATGTCTCTGCTTCATTCAACTCTAATTTTGGATATTTTTACTCCTTTATCCTCGCTTGAAATTTAAAATTACAATTCAACTGTCAGACCAGAACTTAGACTTCAAACAAACTCCATCCGTCGACTACACTCGTAGAGGTGACAAGTTTTTTAGCTTACCACGAGCATCTACTTCGGCGACTTGACCATTAGATGCCATCCTCCAACTTCTCCTGCAGGAAGGACTTCATACGTCCTTTATATGCCAAGTTAATTTTTACTGCGTCCCGATCGATCCACCACACGCTGCATATCGGATATTTTCCCGATATACGGGATTCGTAACAAACTACATGAAATATTTCTTCAGTAGCCTGAACGTTAAACTATCAAAAGACCTATTTGTGGATTACCTTCTCCTCGGTGCTAACTACCAAGAACAAAAACACCTTCTCATCAAGATAACCCAGCAATTTCCATCTCGGTGCTGAACTACCAAAAACATATTCTCACCAAAATAATCCATCAGTTTCTATCTCGGTGCTAACTACCAAGAACAAAAACATCACCTCACCAAGATAACCCAGCAATTTCCTTCTCGGTGCTGAACTACCAAAAACATATTCTCACCAAAATAACCCAGCAGTTTCTATCTCGGTGCTAAACTACCAAGAACAAAAACACCACCTCACCAAGATAACCCAGCAATTTCCTTCTCGGTGCTGAACTACCAAAAACATATTCTCACCAAAATAACCCAGCAGTTTCTATCTCGGTGCTAAACTACCAAGAACAAAAACACCACCTCACCAAGATAACTCAGCATTTCCTTCTTTTTTCTCCTTCAACTACGTTATTTCTTCCTATACAGCTCCAAACCTTATGAGGAAGAACATTTTTACGGCCAAAGCCAAATCTATTCAACAAACCGACCAAGCCTCATAAAGTACAGAACCATCTTCAGAAACCCGCACTTCACTTGATTGCAGTAGACAACTCAGACTAATTCTATCAAAACCGTAAGTAAAGCTACTGAAATAAAACCCTGAAGAAGGATTCAGAAGACAACTCAGACTAATTCTATCAAATCCGTAAGTAAAGTTACTCAAATAAAACCCTGAAGAAGGATCCAGTAGACAACTCAGACTAATCTCTATCAAAACCGTAAGTAAAGTTACGGCTCCTTCTTCAGGGTTTTATTTGAAAGTAGACAACTCAGACTAATTCTATCAAAACCGTAAGTAAAGTTACTCAAATAAAACCCTGAAGAAGGATCCAGTAGACAACTCAGACTAATTCTATCAAAACCGTAAGTAAAGTTACTCAAATAAAACCCTGAAGAAGGATCCAGTAGACAACTCAGACTAATTCTATCAAAACCGTAAGTAAAGTTACTCAAATAAAACCCTGAAGAAGGATCCAGTAGACAACTCAGACTAATCTCTATCAAAACCGTAAATAAAGCTATTAGCATAAAAACCCTGAATGAATATGGAGAGGAAGAAATAGTTTCAAAAGCAAAAACAATGAGTTTACAAAACAGTCCCGAGAAAATCCATCTTAGCCCTGAAGTCCCACTAACTAAACTCTCCAAGAATTCTACAAAGTCGAAGTTAATCCTCCAACACAAACTTTTACTGAACAAACTGTCTTATTTTCTCTCAACTTTTTTGGAACACAATAAATTGGAGCAATGTAATTTATATCGGCTGTAAAGTGCGTTACATTCGTCATGGAGGGAGAAAGAGGTCTTATGAAGCCTGACCCTCCCAGGACAACAAACTTTGGCCTAAATAATGGTTTACGAAAAACAGTTCATCCTATTGCTTACCCATTTAAACTCGGCTTTTTTTTGGGGGGGGGGGTCATTTGACTACCATATTTCATCGAAATGTAATTGGTTGAGATAGCTCCTCACAATTTGTGAAAAGAGACAGAGAGACGACTAGCTATGTTTGTACATAGATGAAACCGATTTAAAATCGAAGTATTTTTTCTCTTTTAATTACAATCATTACAAAATTCATACCGTGAGGGAAATGAAATCAAAGCACAATGAGCGATTACTAGAAGTCTAGATGACACAATTTAGTAATTTATCTAGTGAGAAAAATGTAAATTAAGCTGCACGAAACGTCGAACTCGGATTCTGTTCGTCTTAAATCATAAGAGCTGCAACAAAACCAACAATTTATAATGGAGAGTGTAGTTGATGACTGTATACAGGAAAAATGGAAACTGTTTCAACAAACGGTTAAGGGCGTTTAAAGTAAGCCCATGAAGTCGTTAAACAACAGCGTTAACACAGCTTGTAATTACAGAGAACAGTCGTTTACTCTCTTTCTTATCAGTCAGTCGGCTATTTATTGACAAATAATATGAATAATAGAGTGAGTGCTAAAGTTAAATGTTCTAATTATACTGCAGAAATACACATACGTCCTCTTCCAACAACTCTCATTACCTTACATAACTGTTGTAACCCATCAACTACCATTATGTTGCACAACTACTATAACTCACCAACTTAGATAAAGTTATACAATCATTAAAACCCATCAACTTTTATAGTTTCATAAATGTTATAACCCACCAGTTTTTGCTAAATAACAAAAATTTTATCACCAAATTAACTTTCAATATATAACTGTTATAACTCACAAAGTTTCACTACATTATACAACTTCTCCAATGCACAAACTTTCAGAACATTACATAACTGCTATAACCAACCAACTTCCATTATGTTACACAACTAGTTTAAACCACCAATTTTTAGTACATAACTGTTTTAATTCACTAATTTTTAGTATATTACACAACTTTTATAACCCACGAACTTCCATTATACACTACACAACTGTTATAACCGACCAGCTTTTAGAACATTATTCAACTTGTATAATCCAACCATGCAATGCAATTTTATAAGAATGATACTACTGAAAAAATTTTTTTATTATTCCCTTACAAAAATATTTATTTTCAAAATCATTGGAATGTTCCATTAAAAAATTATCTCACACTTCCCATGCATCAATACATGTACATACAACTTTCTGTGATATTTTAAGCATTAATAAAAACTTACCAAAACTTGACATTGCTGTTACAGTAAGAGAAAATATGGCAATAACCAGCAAAATCATTGCATTTATGAGATGGAAATCCATTATGAATAAAGTCTCACTTTCCAGATAACTGTCTGCTTTTCACAGATTTGATCTGCCTTTCCTAGTTTCATGAACTCTTCAAAAACCTTTATACACACTTAAGATTCCTTCTAGTTCTGAAAATAGGAATACATTTTAATTATTCACTTAAGGTTTCAAAGAGATAAAAAATATTGTTACTTGTAAACTGGAACAAAAAACAAATCATCAACATAAAAGGTTGCAAGATTATTATTATTATTACTATCAATTCTTAAACAAACAAAGAGAAAGCACTGTGTATATGGATTATAAGAAACATCTCCTAATGGAATAGCACCATTCAACGCCAACTTTTATTATGTTTCCATGGCTAAAACTCTAGAGCGTGTTCAGCAGCATGTTGTGGGCTCAAACCTTGGCCTCTTTGATCTATAGCCCAGCACGCTAAACACTAAAGTCATGCTCGGCTCCTCAGATAGGTAGGGCATATGCTTCTTGTACTTTTGAATTTTATTATTTTCAAATATATATATATAGTGTTAATGTAAAACTACTTCTAAAGTTCTAATGCTCCTAAATTATTGAAAAATTCTATTCTTTCACACTTCCTGTTCATAAAAAACAAACAGTAAGTACTTAGTTTCAGGCTTCTACTTTAAAAACAACATGTTGGTTTACTAACAGCCACAACATGACAAATATCATCAAAAGCATACTTTAAAATTGCAATCTTTTTTTTATTACATTATTAAATTATGCTTATGAAGAACATAAAACACCTTCTCCCCCAAAAAAAAGGTTTACCAAGCAAGTAAGTAGTTTTATCCTCAAAATATTTTGGTATTATAATCTACTTAATAAGATAAGGGAATTTTCTATGTGTATATTTAATCTTATCATGCTTATGTCCCCCACCCCCTCCAAAAAAAAGTCTGAACAAGTTTGTGAGAGCTGTTAGGAACAAAAAAACTTAACATGGTTCACACAGTTAAAACTTGTTGACACCCATTTACACTCTTTGAATAACTTATTTTCCTTGGTTTACTCCATATCACTTCATTGCTATTATCTCCTAAGTTCTCAAAAAATATGTCTTTATATCAGACACACATACTGAACCACCAATACATTATTTCTATTTGCCTTTAAATCCCAGGGAAATGTAAACAGGTGTTTTTTTCCACCTGATGCCCTAAGGTAACTAACTAGTTATACATTTGAAAAATACACTCTCCACATGCACTGAAAATATTCCCAGTGGAATAATATAAAGCAGTACAGCAAGTGCACAATGAGAAACTATCTTTTTTGTTTGTTTCTGTTAATATTGGTAACTGAAACTACTTAGCTGTAATTTTTGTACATATGATCAACAGATTATTTTTTTCCCGTTATAGGAAGAAACATTACATTTTTACAGTATCATTAAGTATTATACCCTCTTCATTGTCATAAACTGAACTTAAGTTACTGTCCAAATGAAACCATAACTACCTGATTGCCAAAACATTATTTTAACAAAGCTAAAAACCTTTTTATATAAAGAGATGGACCACGATTTAAAAAAATATTTACAAAGTTAATTACATCTTTAGTTCAGATAGCTCAAAAACCTTGACAATTTCAAATATTATATTCAGTATTTATTGGAAGTCTATTGTAGATTAACCAGTAAAATTAGTATCCTACTACAAGTGGAATGAGCAATCCTGTAAATAGAGATTATGTATTTTTTAATCCATCCACCATTTTTATACAATTAGGGTTCTGGTATCTTTTAAATTTTTACCAAAAATGATTTACTTGCAAAGTGGTAGTGGGTCTGACCTTTAACCTCATGACAAGAAATGTGCTTACAGCCCCAGAGGGCCAACATGAATCACTGTGGTGAATTTTCTGACTTGTTACAGCAAAGGACCCATACCCTTTTGATTTGAATATGAAAAGATGTGTTTGATAAATGGTGTTCATAAATGTCATGATGAAAAGGCTGGACTATGATGTGTCATGCAAGTTGAATGGTTGATGTAATAAACTGTTCATGCTAGATGATCATCTTTTTAAGATATTATTTCACACTTAACTCACATGGATAGTGTAACCAGTTAATCAATGAACACGTTGTTGTAGTAACTGTTCACTTTATAAGGAAATTTTATTTTATTTTGTAATCATTAAAAGTTGTTTAATGAATACAAGCTTAAAGATATAAAGTTACTTGTTACTAGATTTGAATTCTATTCATATAACTTCTGAAACAAAAATTAAATATGAAGAGAAAAAATGATTAATATACTGAGTAAGTGAACTTAATCAAGAAATTAATTACTGTAATTAATTGTCAGTCTCTACTATCTTAGCAAGAATTAATATATAAATAGTAATTTTTGCATGTTACAGGAGTTTTTGTCAAATAAAAGAGCTACAAAAAGAAAATTAGTTCAATTGTTGATTAAATATATATTATGATATACGTTACTCCATTGTTAAAATTAAGCTACTCCTTTGTAAACTACCTTATTTTAAAGTTGATGATAGTTTCTGATTTGGTTAGATTAATATTATACTTCAAAATAAACTGGTATAGTGTGTGTTAGAAGCTTTGATGAAAATCCATCTAGTACTTAAATTCAAACTTATTACCATCTACTAATCAACTGTGAGGTAGAGTTTAGTATTTAAATTGGAATTAGGAAGAAAATTATAAAGAAATGATTCAATTGGACATTTGCCACAATGGTATGAAGACAAACATGAACTTCATCATTAATTTTGTCATAATTAAATAAATCACTCATAACTTCAGAAATAATGAGTAAAAACAAACTATGTAAGTCATTTCTTTCAAAGTTCTGTAAAAAATAGATTTACAACATCATCTTTGAAGAAACATTTCAACTAATTTTCATTACTCTATTATAATATCTTACATCAACATGAAAGTGATGAGCAACGATATTGATGCTTTAAAAAACACATGATCAAACAAATTGACAGAGGATCATCTCATAGTGATCACTATTAAATTATTTGGTCAACTACTATACACCACAACAATCTTTCAAACATTAAGTCAATTTACTAAGATTTTTCATTAAAACCATAAGAATCACACATTCTGGTTAACCATTTTCACTAAATCTTATAAAAAAAAAACTTTGTGAAAATCAAAATATCAATCAATTCCAGCTTTCAAAACATTTTTCTGAAGGACCTTTCACCACACATTTCCAATATTTGCCTTCACAGGTCATTTCCTGATTTCTTCTTTTGAAAGACATGAATAACACCATCTAACCATCATGAAATTCCTGAAAACCCAGCAACTTTTAAAAGAAGTCTATTAACTTCTACATCAGTTTCTTACACAAAGTATTTTTATTATTTTAGAATAAATCTTATCAAGGAAACAAGTTTTAGTTACTTACAGTTTTTCAAGTTTTTTGGAAGAAAGAAAAATTAACAGTATTTGAATTTAAAGGATTCTCTTCCCCATAAAGTAATGAAATATATTGGAAAGACTAAAAACATCCTCTTCTCTTATGACAGCAAAAGTACTTACATTATTTTTTTTTATTATTAATAATATTGAGTTCTTTTAATCAATAATAATAATTCCATTAAAATACCTTAAAGGTACAATTTCCCTTTAACTATGACTCTTTTTTTTTTTACAATCCACATATGCATAAAAACTTCCAAAATATAGTACTGTAATGAATTACAAAAACACATCTGAAAAAAACTGTATCTATGAAAATTTGAACTGTAAACATACTTTCTTTTGGGCATAAAATACAATAAGAATGGTGAAATATGATATAATATACAAATTATTGTTATCTGACCAGATGAGGATTGAGGAAATATTCATAAATGGTAACAAAAGCAAGAGAAGAAATTTTTCAACCTTTACTGAATACAAATCATAAATTAGGTTGGATAATTTGAGCTGTCTTTCATAGCCACTCTTAGCCTTAACAAATGCTTTCTTCTCCTCATTTATTTTATTCTTACAAAATTCAGTATCCTTAGTTTCACCAGTACTATCAAAATTATTGAATGGTTCATTCTTTATTTTCTTGTATGTAAAAAAAAAACACATTTAGTTTGGATTTTAAAAAGTTACCTATGCTCAGTAACAAAGACTTGCTTTACTAACTCCTTACATCCACTATTCTATATCATAGTAACTATTATTTTCCTCTACATCTTAAATCACAGTATTCAATCTCTTAAACGATACATATATTCTCCAGTTTGATCCTTTATTTTCATAAGTGACAGATTAACACAATATTTTAATGATAACCTACTGTTCACACACACATCACACCTAGTAAACACAATTCACACTTTTAACCTTTGTGACCAAGAAAGTTAACAACTCTTAAATTATGCAAAAAAAAGAAGTAAAAACTAAATAACCAATTAGGAGAAAAGTTTTCTGAGAACTTTAAAAGAAAGGCTCTACTTGATATAATTTAAAAAATAATATGAAAGATGTTACAAACTCAAAGAAATAAAAAGATTCTACAGTTAAAATTGTATATAAAACGTATTTATTAAAATCAATTTATAGATAAGTTAAGAGCCTAAACACATTAATATTTAGTAATTCAAATCAAATCTCTAAAATGAACAATACGTCATTTTAGAGATCACATTATCAAACAAAAATTAAGATATCAATTATACATGTGCATAGTTTATAATGAGTTACTTACGTAGGAAAAACATTATTATATTAATTCAACAATATACAGTTATACTTATAAGAAGTGCCAGGAAACGATGACATCGCAATTAAATATGCAGTATATTCAAAGTTTGAACAAATGTTTCTAAAAAAACAATATCAAAACGGAAATTTGTGTATAAATAGTCTGACATAAACCTTAAAATGAAGTACAATAACACTTTATTTAAAAGGAACTTTTAATTGTTAATCAGACTATAGTTCAGGTCCGTCGAACAAGCGTTGTGATCAAATTAACTGAAGTTTTAAAAAGTTCTAATCAGATTCCTGCTGTGTGAAATAACAACAATATATTGTT